AATTTCATGTGTTCTCTAAGAGCCTTGGAGACCTGGCATGTTGTTAAAGCAGAGTAGTCATTTTGAGGTTGAAGAACAGCAGAAAGACCTGTCCGAGCAGTTGTGATTGGAAAGGATGTCAGCTCATTGAAGAGGGTATGAAAAGGCTTTCAGCAAACAGTGTGCTGTAGCTTCACCTGGAAGTAAGTCTGAAAGCATAGAAATTATGCAGATGGGCTACATAATCATTTGGTAACAGAAGGAAGCCAACTCATGTCCTGTGTTTCAACTTGTAACTCAGATCCTTTCTTCCCGAAAAGCACAATTGTAGTCTGATGAAAGCAGGAATGGCAGCTAACTCTGCTTGCTCTCAATCAAATTTTGCCCATTGCCTTTCCTCATGAGAGATCATGAAAGAGTATTGTCTGACTGCCACATGCTTGGGCTGATCTGAAATTTCTAGCTTGCTTGTTAAATATGTTACCTTGCTCAAATTGACATGAGTTGATATCTTTGTAATAAAATTGTACTAGAATTTGGTGAATGTTGTATCAATCAAGTTCATTATGGAAAACGATGAAAAAAACACATATACTCCCTGTTTCTCTCATGCATCCACCACTGGGTGTGCTTCTGTAAGTGAACAGTAAATTACTCCTATGCACAGTTATTTTTTCTAAAGAATATTTCATTGTCCAGAACTGTTCACATTTCTGCTGGATTTCAGTTTCATGTGTTATACTCAGATTTAGTTCAAGTTTTGATTTTACTCATTGACAAGCTTGTCTAACTTCCTTGTGTGCGTTCAGTATATGTAATGACTGAGAATATAATTTATACAAATAATTCCAAAATACAGAAAATTCCACTATGATTTTTTTTTCATCTCTAAGTGGCATTATTAACATACATTCATCCATGCTGAATGTTTCTAAAATCAGATTTTCTGTTATTATTTTCTGCCTTTTTGGCATACTTCAATCACATGTCCAGTTGCAAAAAACAGTAATGTTATTTAATTATCAAATCAATGTGAAATAATATGCAGTTGCAGAATATTACTTTTTTGGCAACAGATTTCCTTGCGAACTGCTTCATAACCCTAGGAGAGGCTCAAACACTAAAAAGACATTCTAAAAGAATTGTTTGCATCTGTTTGTTCTGTATCCCATATGATGGGTAAATAACTGCCTGTGGAAATGGCTAGTGTCAGCATTAAGCCATAGCTGAGAAATATTTTTCCTTTTATTGAACAAATTCCCAAGCTTCCCAGTACTTTTCCATCTCCTCCTAGTGTGGAGCCATAACCTAGATGGGCCCAAAAATGTAGTGTAATGGGTCCAGACTGGTGCTCTTAGAGTCCAAATTACAGTCTTGACTGGCTGAGTTAATAAAATATGCATGATTATTAAGTGAAAAGCTACTTCCCAAATGAAACACTGATTTTAAAACACAAATATCTGAGCCACTTCAGCTGCCTTTTAGCCCCCATTTAATGTAGTCCTTAAAGTAGTGGCAGCATTCCATCTGCACACACAAGAAAGACACACACCGTTGGCCTTTTCCAGTGTGGGAGAGGAGGGTCTGGTTGTCATTCGAGCCTTAGGTGGATCCTCCTAAGTTTTAAGTTGCTTCAATTTTTGCTGCTGTGACAACTACATGGGGTGTTTTCTCCTGCGTCACAGCCATCTAGGACAACCTTGGAGGGGCAGGAGGAGATGTATGTGATAAAACACAGAATGGAGGACATGGCTAATTGGAGAGGAGCAGGATATTGTAAAGAACTTGAGGACCTCGAGGCTTGAAGTAACAAGTGCTGTGACTCGAAGAAAAAAGTCCTACTATAAACTTGGAAGTGTGACAGGACCACATGCTTCAGGGAGAAGGACTCAAGATTTATGTATTGGTCAAAGGATCAGCTGGCAGTGTGACGGTGGCCATGCAGAAACGTTGCACGTCATTTGAGACTTCATTAGGAGACATGTCCAGCACACATACTGCTGCTGGAAGTGGTGGTGTTGGTGTAACACCGTGGGGAGGGAGACCTCCAGCAGCACACTGGGTGCAGTTGTGATCACCCGCAGGAGAGTTGAACTTAGACTTCTTTAACCGCAGTGGAGAAGTGTTAGACTTGATCAGGGGGGTAGAATGGCATCATCCTAGACAAGACTAGAAGGAGTAGGCTTGTGAAGTCTAGCCAAATAAATGCTGAGAGGGGATGTGATCGTTGTCTATAAATACATTTGGATTGTAAACACCAAGGAAAGAAGCTACGGTTTAAGCAAATGGCTAACGCTGGCGCCAGAACAAATGGATACAAGCTGGGCTGTGAATAAATTGAGGCTGGAAATGAGAAGAAATTTCTGTATTCTTGGAGCTGTGAGATTTTGGAACAGTTTTCTTTTAGGAATTAATGGGACAAAAAAAACCTAAGGACATTTTAGGTGGGCACTCAGGTTATATACTCAGGTTTAGGTGGGCACTCTGCTCTGGTGAGACCCCACCTGGAGCACTGTGTCCAGCTCTGGGACCCCCAGCACGAGAAGGACAGGGACCTGTTGGAGCGGGTCCAGAGGAGGGCCACAAAAATGATCTGAGGGCTGGAGCACCTCTCCTACAGGGACAGGCTGAGAGAGTTGGGGTTGTTCAGCCTGGAGAGGAGAAGGCTGCGAGGAGACCTTATTGCGGCCTTTCAGTACTTTAAGGGGGCCGATAGGAAGGATGGGGACAATATTTTTAGCAAGGCCTGTTGTGACAAGACAAGGCGTAATGGATTTAAACTGAAGGAGGGTAGATTTAGACTGGATATAAGGAAGAAATTTTTTACAGTGAGGGTCGGAGGGTGGTGAAGCACTGGAACGGATTGCCCAGAGAAGTAGTGGAGGCCCCATCCCTAGAAATATTCAAGGTGAGGTTGGACGGGGCTCTGAGCACCGTGGTCTGGTTAAAGCTGTCCCTGCTCATGGCAGGGGTTGGGCTGGATGATCTCTAAAGGTCCCTTCCAACCCAAAGCATTCTGTGATGCTGTGATTCTATAAGAGGGACTATTTCTTGCTTAGATTGCCCCACACATGGGCTTTGACTTGGTCTGTACCAGCTGTAATGTTGCTGTAGAAGCAAAACCAGTAAACTTTTGGGGTTTTTTAACCCTATGTAACAGCTCAAGGAAACACGTTCTGATGAGTGCAGTCTTTCTGATTGGTGAGTGCTAGATGTAATCTCCAAAGGACTTGTTTGTACCATTAAAATCAAGGAGTTTTGTGTATATAATCATTTATAAGATCAGGGCCTACAGCTGTTTTTTGAATTATGTTGTAGTCTCATTCTTTAAGGATGTGTATTTTCTAACTTTTTTGCAGTTCTTACTCTTACAAGCAAATCCAAATTCTGCTCAAAGGATTCTGGTCTTTATCTGACTTAGAACTGTGGTTACCAATCCAGAAACACCTGTTGAAATAGTATAAATCATTTTGTGACGTATTCAGTAAGAAGCAGTTTTCTTTCATTTTTATGGAGTCTGTTTTTATTTTCTTTTAAAATTTTTATTACTGTATTTTCATTTTAAAAATCACTGCTGCAGATCTTGGGTTCCAACAGTTGTGATCCTCTGTCTGCGAGATTGTGTTTTGCTGCAATAGGTTTTTTTTAAACTATTTATGTTGATGTTGATTATTGTCACTGATCTTGCAGTACCCTAGAAAATGCTCATATGAGCAGAAATAGCTCAGATGACAGATCTGTACATGTACCAGACCAAAAGTCTGTTGAATGAGAAGTTTAGAGCCTCTGCAGAACTTTTATGTGAAGTGCGTCATAGGAACCTCTTGAAGTCATTACAGCTAGGTTAGATGTTGAAGTGGTTTGTGCATGTTTTGTATCTTGTAGAACGATTAGGATATGAGGTAGCGCACTGAAGGTGGAAACACAGAGAGGTGTTTTGAAGAAGTGAAATTGTGTGATTTGCATATAAAGAGGAAACCATTTTCTGCTTTCTGAACAATAAACTCGTATCAGTTGTGTGGGGTGCAGTGTCACTGCTTGTTTGGTAGCAGAATTCAAAACTGCTGGGCATGGTGTGCTAGGATCTCTTCCCCTTCTCCACACCCCTTCCTCTTAACCTTTCTTGAGCAGGTTGGATGCACTCTAATATAATTAGAAAGATATTTAGACCTTTCAGATCCTGACAATTTATTTTTGCTTTTTTGCCTCTCTCTCTCACAAGCTAGGTGTTTGGTTTTTTGGGGTTTTTTTGGGGTTTTTTTTGGTTTTTTGTTTTTTTGTTTTTCTTTTGCAACATTTTTGCTTTGGTACAATTTCTTATTTCTTAGAGGTGCTGTTTTTTCTGGATAATGTCTAGTTTGGCATCTCAGTTGTACCAATTTATATGACAGTTTTCCATCAGTGAGAGCTTAGACAGTTGCTGTATCAATAAACTAAGGGACAAACACTTTGTTCGTATGTATGAATTGACAGATTTCAGTCTGTGTTGTCTAAGGGTTTTGTAATGATTACTGAATGTTTTCTATTCAGGTATAAAGTGGTTTAATAGCACAGTGAATGCCTGTACCACTGTGTGTATGGTGAAGAGATACTGCTCTGTGAGTCCATTCAAAACTGAACATCAGCTGCCTAAGCGTAAAAATACGTACTGTTTAAAGTGAGTGCTTGCTCCCATGTTGTGTTTCATCTGCATGTGCAGATGCAGTCCAGTGATGCATGTACTTAGGGTGCAATATTGCAGAGCTTCTCCTGTGAAACAAAGAGTTTTCCCTCTTAATAAGAACGCAAATACAGGTCACTTAGCTCTTCTAAAGCTAATCTCATCACACTAGAGTGGCTACCTCAGATGAAAAAGACTAATAAGAGCCTGGAAGATATTTAGAGAAATAACCTTTAAAACAAAAGACCTGGATTTAATGCTTTTAACAGTCTTTTTATACCTGAATATATGTATACATGATGAAGCTGAGATCCTATGAAAGAAAAAAATAAAAGTATTTTTTCTTCCTTTTTATTTATAGGTACTAAATGAAGCAGTGGGTGCACTGATGTATCACACTATCACTTTAACACGAGAAGACCTGGAGAAATTTAAAGCACTTCGAATAATTGTCCGAATTGGCAGTGGTTTTGATAATATTGACATCAAATCTGCTGGAGATTTAGGTATGACTATTAAAGACATTATTTTACATCTTACACTTGACTCCAGAAATCTGATAGCACCTAAGTCTTTGCATTAATGTTTTCTGTATAATTTATACTAACATAGTATGTAAACTGTATAATTTTCTCATCAGAGTGTTTAAAAATCATTATGGAGATACTAGCATTAGTTAATTAGGTGATAATATTAAACAGCTTTGTGACAGGATGACAATCCGCCTGTTCAATATAAACCCAAGGAGTAAGGCCATAATTTTTCATCTTTCTTTTTTACCCCAGTTGTATATTTTAACTACTACTGCTGTAATCCAGTCACAAAATATAATTCCATCAGCATGGCATACTACTTCTGTTTGAATAAAAAATGAGATCATTATCAACTGTCTTGAGACTTATTTATGATGCATGAGATTTAGTACTAAACCACTCCATAAAATAGAAATACCGATTTTATAGGAGAATCAGTTGTTGCTGCTTCAGAATAAATTCAGATACTGGAACTATGAAGAGCAGTATGGTGCTTAGTGTTTCACTGTATAAAAGCTACAGTCTGATTTGTACTTTCCGTACTTTAGGATAAACCATCTCTTACCTATAATCTATAGGTCAAACTACCACTCGGAATAAATGTCTGTATTTTCTTTGTTTCTTTTCTAAGACTGAGGTGACCGAGTATATTTCCCATTATGCTCTGGGAAGATCTTGGAAACATTTATTTCAGTTTCACAGAGCTTAGTCCTAGTAATAACCCCACTGAAGTAGTGAGGAGCTGTAATACGGTCTGTTTATCAGTAGATGATAGTAAAATCACCTGTTTCTAACAGCAGTGTAGTTTGCACAGCAGGCAGAGGCTAACAACTTCTTTGCAAGTTTCTGTAAAGAACAGACCGGATCTGAAAGCATGCAAGGTTGCGTTCTGCATATTGTAGCCAGTGCCACAGTTAGGCGCACACGTTGTGAGCCCCAGAAAACATGCATATATGTAGAGATTGGCCTGGGGTGATATCCTAGATCAAAACCCAAAACCTAGTTACAGGTCAAAGGCCCCAACCAGTCAGGAGTCCGATTTGTGCAGAGAATCCCTGATAAGAGGAAAATCTTCGCACATTTGTTGGCTTCTTCTGCAAGTCTCCGTGCTGGATTGTAACCCCAGCTTATAATTTAAATGCAGCCACATAATTCTTCAAGCCAGAGTACAGTAGATTTGGGAAATTCTCATTTGTATGAAATGCTAAATGGCCACATCCCTAATCATTCAGTTCCTATGTTGTGATTAGACTGAGTTATACAGTTAGGATCCATCCTGGTTGTGCATTCCAGTATTTACAAAATACAGTTGCCCCCTCTGTCAAAAGCCAGTAAATGCTGGAAGGCTTACTGTGTAAAATCTCTGATTTTAATAGTTAGGGTGAAATGGTTGGAATTAAATACTAACTCACTGCTACTGGGACAAATCACTTTCCATTTGTTGAGCTAGTACAAATAATACGCATTCAAGGAGGTAACATGAGAGTTAATTGCTCTTTGTAAAAAGCTTTGATTCACTCTTGAAATATAGTTAGATCATAGAGTCTGACATATTCCTGAACTTCTGTAGTAACTTTTTGAGTTATTTTTCATAGAGCTGGCTCGTGGGGTTGTTACTAGCTTTTCCTATTAAGTATTGTTTTCATGTTAGCACTTTCACTCTTTTCAAAATGCATGAAAACATACGTTTCTTGGATAAAATCTTTGAAAACTGGTCTACTTTTTCTCCAGTTTATTAATTGTTGACTAGAAAATATGTATGAGTTGTGAGTGTAGCTGGGTGCAAGAGAAGTGGGAGTCAAGGTAATGCCCGTTAACTCCCATTGAACCTGTGCACAAGATCACTGAAAGCGGTGGGAAAAGGCGAAAGGGAAGGGAGCGTAGAAGCAATGGATATGAGATGAGTGTGTGCTGTCTTTTCCTGTGTGAAATGTCTCTCTTCTCCATATCCTTGCCGCTCTCTTGTGCCATTTGTGTTTCACCATGTCTCCGCCTTTCAGAAATTAGCTGGTTTTCAAGTTGGGGGAAAATAGGGAAAAAGAAATTCCTACAGTTTAGGAGAGAAATTATCTGACTCTTCTCCCCCAAATTTCCTAAGGAAACCTATTAGGGAGGAAGGTATAAGGTGAGTTCAGGTCCTTATTTCTCTTTGCAAATACGTAATATAACTCTTTAAGCTCCTTTTAAAGCATTATTTTGTTAATGCTAGCTACCAGGAGACATGCATATTAAATTTGTTTTGCCATCTAAAACCTGCATTTTTGCTCCATGAAAAAAACTTTTTGTGTAAACACATGCAGCTGTTTAATATGATGCACTTAAAGGGATGTTATTTTTCAATCTTGTACTTTTCCCCAACTCACGCTTTTCCCACCATTTTTAAAAAATGGTGGTTTTTATACTGCCATTGATGTTAGCAGGATGCCAAGATTAATATTCCAGCAATGATGCTGTTTTATCTTTGTGTAATACGGCTAAGAGCAGTGACTAAGCAGACACTATTATCTCTACAGCAGAGAAAAGAAAAATAGTCCTGCAGGTTTCTTATGTTGGTTTTTACTGATCTAAAGAAAGCTGTAAAGTGCTGGACAGCAGAACGAAGGCATTTGTAAAATAGATAAATATGGTCTGAGCTTATTACTTGTCAGATTATTGTTATAACTATTACTGAAGAGAACGCTTTTTCTTCCTTGCTTGATAAGATATACTGGTGTTAGCTGAGGACTCATTGAATATTTATTTATGTAAAAACCCAAAGAACTAGACAGTAAAAACAGTATTAGGGTGTTTTTCAGTATACAAAACACTTTCTCCACCGTGAAATTATACTGTATACTGTTTGTGATCTCAGTCAGCAGAACTGAGACAGAAACATTTGTGGGAGCTGATAATTAGAGAGAGAACATGTAGTAAATAGAAAAAATGAAGAAAGAGAAGTCAAAAAGCACACAAACTTTTTCATGTAAACATTTTGCTTAACTGCTGTATATTGAGTACTGGAAGGTAAAAAGCAGAATGGGATGCATGCAGTGCATGCAATTACAATCACTTGTTGCCTCATCTGTTTTTTGAGGTAAAAAAGGAAAATTGTGCATCTTGAAACAATCCACCTTCCCTAACTGTCTGTGGAAATCTGTAACAGTCTTTTAGCTGCTTGATGTTATGCCCTTTTCAATTAGTAACTTTTCAGCTATTAGGAACGTGGACTTAATTTTGCATTATCTTTACATGCCATTCAGAAGCAGATTTTATACTCCCTATTGACAATTAGCTGGGTTATCTCTTTAATTTGAGGGACCAGCAATGGACTGGGATTCTGTTTGTTGTAATTCTACAAACCCGTGTGCAACACGAAATAAATTGGCCCCTCCCTCTGTCATGATTACCCATACATGAATTGGAAATACTAATAGTCATCCTGTGAGGGCTTTGTAAGAGTTGCTGTCATTATAAATTATTTTATCTTTTTTACAACTTGTATAGATAGCTTTTGGGAGGGTATCTGCTCAGTGGTGGAAAGCTAACTCACGCAATTAACCGCACTGTTGAGAGCAAGGCAGATTTCTCTTTGCTATTCAAAACATCTAGCTCAGTGTGCATGTAAAACGCTTACCAAGACTTGTGTTCTAAACTATCCGACATCTTCAGTACTTTGCTTTTGTGGTTTCAGTGGTCTGCTTACTGTTTGCCTTAGTTTGCAAACACAATAAATAGTAATAAAAAATCCGAAAAAAGTATGTTTGCACATATTTATCAACTGTTATGTCAAGTGTTCTGTCTGCCATTACAGTCAGAAACTTAGTATTTGTGCAAAACAGGTGTTGAAGTATCTGTAAATTTAAACGTCATACCCCTGAATTGCTGTTAAATGGGAAAAAGTAAGAAACATTTGGCAACTGGTATCCTTTCCCCCCATTCTTTGCAGGGATCGCAGTGTGTAATGTGCCAGCTGCCTCGGTAGAAGAAACAGCAGATTCTACCATGTGCCACATTCTGAACCTGTACAGGCGAACCACCTGGCTTCACCAGGCTTTGCGAGAAGGCACGAGAGTACAAAGCGTTGAACAGATTCGGGAAGTGGCTTCTGGAGCTGCCAGGATCAGAGGGGAGACCTTGGGCATTATTGGATTAGGTATGTTGGCTTCAGAGGTGGTTTAATACTCCTTGCCTTCCGTTGCTTTAAAAAAATTATGATTTGAGCTATAAAAATGGAATGCTCCGTTCACTCCTTTCCATGTCGAGCATTCTGTATAATACCACTTCATTCCTGGTGTTTATATGTCTCAAATGTTTTCCCCTTAGATGTCATCATTTCCCTCAGAAAACTTACTTTGTTGCTGATAATCTCTCAATTCTTAGAATTTCTGTACATGTTTTCTGTTGCCGTATTGCCTGGTGTCAGGCACACTGGTTGTAAGAGAAGGAGGAGACACCATCATTTCCCTTCTCCAGGACAGGGATCCTGCTACTTCAACCCAGTGTCACATGTATATGTTGTAGGTCTTGTCCGCTGTTATATCTGGTTCTGTTTGTGCTTTTTTCCTTCTATTGTTTTTAACACTTCTGAAGTCTTTGTTGCAGTAACAGCCTGCAGAGCAGTTATTTCATGCACTTGGTTGAGCTGCATCTGAAACTGTACTTCAGCTCAAATGAGAGGAAAAATATATGCAAGAAAGTTTGAAATGTTTCCAGACCTAATAAAATCACCTACTTACCTCTCTGAATGGCCCTAAATGTGTTTCAGCATCTAACAGATGGACAGGCTTGCTTGAGATGAATTAATTACTGTCTGTTACAGAAGTAGAGAAGAAAAACAAGCAAGTCAGTTTCTGTACAAAAATTATTCAGTCATGTGCTTGTCTTATCAAAGATCTGATAGATTGTGGATGTAATTGCTGTGGTATTCATCCACAGGAATTAATAATATGACTTTGACAACAAGGCATCATACTTAAATGACTGTTCTGGTTACACGTGGCTGTCAAATAACTAAAGCCTCGAACTCTTACTTTTGGAAGCTGAAAATAGCCTGGCATTACATAGTAGTTATTTAAATGAGTACGCAACACACCCAAAATATCTTCACAGTCAAAGAATTGCCTTTAAAATCTGACTTTCAAGAAGTTAGTCATAAAGTTGCTTTCTCAAATCTATACCGGTATAATTATGTACCTCATTTAAACACACAATGATTGTTTTACTCACAGTCACAGCATCTATACATAAATGACAATCACCTGCAGTGTTTTAAAAATGGAAATGCATACCTAGTTTTTGAAACTTAAGCCTTGGCTCACATGCTATGTGCGTATTTGCTGGAGATACCTGTCCTGTTGACATTGCATTTTTTGTATTGCACAAATTCCAGGCTGAGATGAGAAAAAGAAGTAATTGATTATTGACTTCCTTAAGTAAATTTTATGTGTGTTGTTTTTGTTGTGAATGACTGAAAAGTACAGATGAACAAATGGATAATCAGATTGCCAATATGTGTGTAAAGCTACGTAAAATGGTAGGTTTTCGGTTTAGTTTTAAAAAGCAAGCCTTTTATGTGCATGCTATATTGAAAGGCTAGTAAAGTCTGATTTTAAAGGTACACATCCGTTACAGGTATTAACCAGTCATCTTCTCTAGCCTTTTATTGTTCCTATTTCTTTTCCCACAATAGAATATTCTCAATTTCAAGGAAAATAAGGGTTTAAACTCAGTCTTGAAAACTTCCACTAGTTTTTTTTGTGCATGGACATGAATACGCACATTTTGATTCTGACCTGTTTTAACAAACTCCTGTGTAGCTGTGTATTAATGAAGAATAAAAATGTAGCCTTAGAAGATAAGGAAATAGAGCTGTACTAGACTTTATGTTTGAGCACTTCAAGCACTTAGTCTGTGATATACACTCTTTGGTATTACAGAACACTGCAAGAGGCTGCCTGTCTCTAGTTTCGGACTAAAAAGTGTATTTACAACCACCTTCAAAAGACTGTTGCCCTTAGGTTATGTTTCGCTAGTAGTGGCCTCTTCCCACATCTGTAGTTTTGCCTCAGTTTATTATTTTATTATTTAGATATGTCAGCGTCAGAAGTGATGAACCACTAAGAGGCTATAAAGTGAATGTATTGCACACAAAATAAACAATTCTCAATCATCTGTTACTAAGTCCTTCTCTCTGGTTCTGTGTAGTATCGCTGTTTCTGTCCTTTCTCGTTAATGTGCGTCCGAGATCATCTTGTATCTCACCACAGCTGTGTTTCTCTGTTCTTGTCTTAAACTTGTGGTCTCTTCAGCAGTGGGTTGCTTAAATTTATCACTTCGCTGCTGCAACAGCTAACTCCAGACCTTCTTCACATCTGTTCCTGGGCTTTTCTCTTGTTTTGCCAAAGAGAAACACCCTAGCTTTTGCCTATGTCTCTGCTAGGGAATGACTATGTCATTCCCTCCAAAGCTTCAGCTACTCACTTCCTTATCCACTGGTCTAGCCAAGTTTCATGACTCACTTGCCTTTTCCTTTCCATCACCCACTCTCTTTTCTTTGCCTCCTCTCATGCATATTCCTGCTTTGACACTTGGTCTATCCTGCTTAATCCTATTACTCCGTGCTCCTCCTTTAAAGTTAACCCCATCTCTCATCCTCTGCTTGTATTGAGCTTGAAGATAAGCAGAGACTCAACAGCATAATGCCTCCTTCATGTGCTTGTTGGATACCATCCGTCATTGTTTTGTTGTTTGGTTAGCCTCTGAGCTCCTTAGGGCAGAGCCTGTGTTTCTTTCTGTCTTTCTGAAGTGTGTGATTCTTTGAGCCTTACATAAATAATAATATCACATCATTAAATAGCTGTCTTTGTCACTTTTAATATTTATTACTATCCAGTGTCCTATATTTCAAGTGGTGCATCACAAGGTTGGATAGTAAGCCCTGCATTAAAAAAAAAAAAAAAAGCTACCTTTTCACCTTCTATCTAGACATTTAGGGTTTTTTTAAAAAGGAGAATATTTGTGAGCAGCAGCATGTAAGTACTTGGATGAATAGATAGCTGGACCTGGTTCTGCTGTAATGGTAATTTTACAGCAGTGAAGGCAGTGAAGTCACACTCCCTTCCTCTTCCTTCCCAGTTACAAATGCTGATGACTAATAGCTAATGCATTTCCTCACGCAAGAGAGGTGAAATTCCTCCAAATAAATTTGTCTCTGCATCATAATGAATGTCATCACTCAGTTCGTCTTTCCTCACCTGCTGTGTTCTCTCAACAGTCCCACGGTCCTGACTAGATGTTGGCCAAAGTACTGATCTGCATTATCAGACAATAGTAAGACTTAAGAGTTGGGTGGTATTACCATGCAATAAATGATGTACCCTTAGCAGTCCTACTAGCTCTCTTAATGTGCTCAGAAGGAAATGTAAAACAAAATGGCACTCTCCACATTTCAGAGTTCTCCAAGAGGGAGGAAAAATTACCCAGATTCTCCATTACTGTTGCATAGACAGGAAAGAACTACTAAGTGAAAGCACTTTTTCTTTCCATGGAAGTCTGCAGGCAGGTCATCAACATTTCCACGGTATCAAGGGCATTTTACAAAACTTTGTAATACCAGCATAGGGTGCTCATTCTTTACCCAAGGGCTGGGCGGGGGTCATTGACAACTGCAGATACTATACTGTCACATGCAAATCAGGTCATTGGCAAGGTCAAGGTCAGAGACACCTACAAACTGGGAGACTTAGGGGGAGTAGATGGGTCAGACTGTAACAGAAGACCCAGGCGTTTTTGATGAGTCTGTCTTTGCTCTTCTGGTGATACTGAAATGATGCATGGGCTTTGCTAGAGCTTTATATAAATCTCTAATTTCTAAAATAGGCTTTTGTTGCTTTCTGCTTTTTTTGCAATTGTATGCAACATGCATTTTCTGCATTCTTCCCACACTACAGAAGTTCATTTGATATTCTGAACTTCAGAATTCGCCTTCCCTGGAAGCAGCCATAAATATTCATAGCAATTGTATATGCTTTTAAGATAGAGTTGTCCGAACATGGGGTGCTTTGTATGCTGTTGTGTTGTTCTTGATATGCGGAGGTAGGTTTTGAGCCACCCTCATGCCCAGGAGAGTCTTAGAAGTTTTTCAGGAAAGGAAAAAAAAATCATAGGTTTGTGGTTGTACTATATTGTCACACTGTAGTCTGAAAAGGAATTGGCAAATTATGTGTGTCCACCTATGTATTTGTGTAATGACAAAGACTAAATATGAATTGTCAATTGCAGAAGAGTTTTATCCCATGAAATAATTGTAATAGGACAATAGGCTAGAGGTACATGCGTGTGATTCCTGAGTGTTTCAGGAGGAAACTTTGTGCACATTGAAGAAGGCTTTGGTTTATTAGCCTGGTTGCAATGAATGGAAAGTGTAGCTTTAACCGGAGAGTCTGTTGTAAGAGATTTCACTGTCATGAATCCCCTCAGGTATTAGTGTTGTAAAGAGTGTAAAAAAGAACAGATGACAGAATGTTGCATGTGAAAATGAATGGAGCTGGAGTAACAGCGATATGCTTCATTTAAAAAAAAATTGTTTACAGTTGTGTGACTGATTCCTTGAGCTGTGAACATGCCAAAATTTGAAAATAATACAGTGTTTGTGCTGAAAATTGTCTAATTCAAGTTTATAAGAACCAGCTTGGAAAGCAAACAAATAACATGTATGCAAGTATTGAAATAGAAGACTTTGAAGAGTACTTTAATTCGGTGTCCCCAAAGAAGAGCAGACAGCCCCCATCAGATTGACATAGTGTTTAATATTCCACGCACATCTGTCACTAAGCACTGCAGAATTGCTCTGTTCAGGTTAAATGATCAACAAAAAAACCTTTCTTCCTGTGGCTTCTTAAGTTTATTCAAAGAGAAACTGAAAAGCAGAGGGAAATCCCTTCAAGCACAATTGGAAAGAGATGGGATTTCCCTGTGTTAATTTGATGCTTTTTTGAACAAACTCAGATGTTACAAAAGAAAACTTGTTGACTTTTTTTTTTAAAATGAGGCATGATTATTATGGTGTGTCTATTGATGCTTTTGAAGTGTCTTTATCTAACACTGGTAATACTCTAACGTGAGTATCTAGTGTGTAGTCTTCTAACCTGAAAAATGTGTTAGTCCTCGTTCTTCAAAATGCCCTTACTCACTAGAGGTACTCGCTCGCTTTTTCCTTGTGCTTTACTGGTAGTGTGTCAAAGGGAAATACACACCTCCTGATACATGTGGTGTGGAGTCATGCCCAAACAGCAATTTCAGGCACAACTCTGAAATACGACAGTAAGGAAAGTGGAACAGAGAAAAGCTAAGGTCAATGTGAATACCAAATGGTACTGCACTCTTCTTAACTAGGTGCCATATGATGGCCTGTATTTATTCATCATGTAGGTAGATGGATACAAATTTTTTTAAAGCCTTAGATGACAGGATTCTTGTAGGTATTTTAATGCTGAAAGGATGTTACTCAAAATGAAAGCAAATACTAGTTCAGAAAGGAGATTCCACACATTGAGAATGGTTGAGCTTCAGATTAAACAAATTATCTTTTATTGCATCCATTTCTGAGGATTAATTTTATAGCTTTTTATTAAAGCCAGCTGGTCCAACATGGGTAAGAATAAGTCCTTGGCAGGATGTGCTCACAAGCAGTAGTGTTTTACCATAAACAGGCCCAGCAGGCAAGCCCTTGTATTACACAGATTATTGCAGATTACGTGACATCTTCTGGCATTTCAGATCTCCAGTTGCAAAAGGTGCAAGTTTCCTGCTCTGTTTTGAACAAAGCAATGTGAAACAGCTGAGATGTAACTTTTCTGATCTTAGTGATGATTTCAAGTGGGATGGGAGCTGCCTCTTTTTGATCCTCTTCCAGTTGCTGTACAGAACAGTATGGTTTGATACGAGCGTTTGCAATAGGAAGGAGGAGGCTACCTTACACCAGCTGCTTCACATCTGTTCTCATTGCATGTTTATCTTGTTCTAGGCCGTGTTGGGCAAGCAGTAGCACTACGTGCCAAAGCCTTTGGCTTCAGTGTGATTTTCTATGACCCATACCTCTCAGATGGCATGGAGCGTGCTCTGGGACTGCAGCGGGTGAGCACTTTGCAGGACCTGCTGTTCCACAGTGACTGTGTTACCCTGCACTGCAACTTGAATGAACACAATCATCATCTTATTAATGACTTCACCATAAAGCAGGTAATAATCTCTGTGGGCGCCCTCCACGCCGGTGCTGGTGACTGACACTGTATAGCGTTTATTTATGTAAACAGGCAGATTCTCATTTGAAAGAAATTTCTTTCCCTTTTGGTACTTTCAGATCAAGCAGGTTTATAACTGATGAGGAAATAGCTGGTGGCGTATGTATTGTTGCCTTTATTGTCTTTTTTGCTCAGTAACATTGCATTTGTGGAAATAATTTTCTCTTCTCAATGTTTAATAAAGTTGCATTTATGTTAAAGCAATTCTTCTATGTCTTCTAGTAGCTACTTCCTTTACCTGTGTATTTTCAGGTATCAATTCTGCCTTTCACTCTTGTTCCTCAGTTTGAGTTCTTTAGATGCAATTTAAGGATTACGACTAAATGGCTCCCCCCTGTGCTCAGTCCTGATGCTTGCAGAGCGCTTCATGGATGGATTGCATTTACAGCATTGCATTATTTGGAAAAATAATGTTTCTTGGAATTAGTACTAACCTCTCCCTAAAGTTTTAGGTAATACTAAAATAATTCCAAAATCTAGGTGTAGTAACTGCTCCGTTATTGACTAATCTGACAGTAAGCTTTTTCATTAAATGCCTAGCTTCTCACTCCAACCTCAGTGTAGGTAGCAGCAAGAAATGTAACATTGAGATGTAAGAGTGTAGATGGTGTACAGGAAAGAAACTCTAAGCTATAATAGTTGGTTTTGCTGTTCCTTATGTATGTAGTTTTTGTATGTGTTGGTAACAGTGACAGTAGCACTCTTGCAGTAAAATCATGGCTTGGGTTCTGAGAAATAGTTTGCACCTACTACTCTTGAACTTTAGGAGAACTGAAGTGGTTACTGAGTGTGTTCCACAGTCACAGAATCATGTAGGATCATGGCAGAAAACTGGTGATATAACACACTTCTTGATTTGAGAGTTTAGGGATTTTGCAGATCCATCCCAACATAAAATCAGGGTTTGGGATTTAAAACTCTAAAAAATTACGTTTAAAATGCAGATCTCTAAGAGAACAGAGCTCCGTCACCCTGCCCTGAACGTTCTCTCTTGTTGTGCGTTCAGGTACATGTAACGGTTATTACATGGTTAGATGTCTTTACAAGCAGACATCTAGACCCAAATGGAATCACAGCAACTCAGTGGGAGCATCTGGAGGCTTAGCAGTGGTCACTCATTATACAGTGGACTGTGAAACTTGGGCCAGTGTGTCGCGGGAAGTTTTTAAGTGGAGGTGGATAAACACGATTAGCTTTGGAGAGGGCTTAGTGCATTAATCAGAGAAACAAAACAAAACAGGTTAAAACTGAGTGATACCATCTGAAATGAAATGCATATAATAAAGTCTGTACTGGAAAGGATGTCATAAGCATTTGTCTTGCTATTTGTTATCCTTCGTGATTAAAGCAAGGATTAAAATATTAGAAGATAGTTCTTGCTTTGGATAAAAGTTTGGATGAAGCAGCCTGTATTGTAACAGCTGGTGTGAAAACCGTAAAATTGTAACACCTCTGACTGCTTAGCTTGCATAGAGCAGATCTCCTGAATATGTATCAAAAAGCAGAATAGGTTTTTTAGGCTGACAGATGTTAGATTTTTAGAGAGCATTGCATGCCACTTTTGTCTAATATTGCATGCTGATGTAATAACCAGTTTTTAAATGAAGTACAGAGAAGTATGGTGCATCTCATTTCACTAAAATCTCACCCTGAATTTTGTTTAGCATCTGAAATTACATAACCTTAAAACTTCTTTGAAAACTTTGTGTCAGTCTTCTCTTTCAGTGGCTTTTCCCTTTAATTAGTCAGCATTTTGCCTAGCCATCATGCTTGGCCTTGTAGACCCAGATTAGCTCAGAGAAGTGTTTCAAGCTTGTGTATATGGAACCCATGGTAATCAGATGTTCTTAAGAGAAGCTGAGGTCATCTTTACTTTTACAGATTTGAGAAAAAGACACTGCAATTTAAGCACAAAACATTTTTAAAGCAGCTATGTGGGTTTAGTGTAGGTGAATTTAACAGCTGTCAGCAGTTCCAGCTGTGAAGCTCTTTCAAGCTTCCACCCGTTGTTACGGGTCATCTCCAGTTGCATCCATCCTTACAGTTTATCATGAGTCACGTAATTCATTCCCACTAGAATGCATTTATGCAGCCATGTTCTGTTTGATTTGGACTTGTCTAGCTGTAGAGTTTTGTAAATAGTCCTAAAATAAAAACTCAAGCAAGGTTATTAAGATTGGACAGAAAATTTTAGCAGGGTTCACTTTGATTAAAATTTCAAGTCCTTCAAAGGGCATATAAATACACTAAGCTATACTTAAAACTCAGATTATCTCTTTGCAAGAGCACAGGAAGAGGAAGGGTACACGAGCTCCCACAAGCCTATGTGGCATGTCTGCACAACAGGTGTGATTGCCACTTGGGTGAGCCCTCCTGTGCTAGTTTTGATCTAGTTCTCACAGCTGACTTAAGTAGTGGAGAAGCCAGTGATGGTTCGCATCAGGAATGTCTTCTTCTTACTAGACCAACTTCCGATCATGCCACCATTTCTTCACTGTTCTAATTCCCAAGTTAATTACAGAAAACTGAAAGAAGTACCCCTTAGTTCTGCTCCTGTAAGTGGACTTTGGTTTTGCTATAGATGGTTCTCCTGTAAGCCCAAGAGTCTGCAAATGGAGAGAGGCAGGGCCACACTAAACCTAGTGGGCCGGCCAGTAAAATATGGTGGGTTTTTTTCTTATAACCTTCCTGCAAGCATATGCATGTTAATTGTTTAATATTTCCTGTGATGTCATGTAAAAAAAATTCTCGTAGCTGACTTTCATCCAAACCTCCTTGTTGTTCATGAATTTGGCATTTTGAATTATTCTTTCAGAGTAAGGATCCATTTACATAAGCTTTAGTTTGATGTGTAGGTTTCAAGTAGTTGACTTTGTGTCAAAATGTTGGTGTTTTCTTGTTTGCATGGTGAGAGATGGAGTCAGTACAAAATGAGATTTTTATCATTCATCTTCACTGTGGTTCCTGCTCTTCATATGCTTACCTTCATGCACAGAAATGCTTCTGAGATCAGAAGCTGTGTTTGAGACATCTGGTAAAAGATGAAGTATTAGGGTGGCTGGAAGCAGGATGTAGTAATTTATTTTTTTTCTGTACCATCTCTCTTATTTAAACCGCCACTTTGTTTTCAAGTTGTGGATATATTATGGTGTAAATTCTTGTAGTTCTCCCCACGCAGTGTCATCTACAATGCTAATCTGCACAATGCACAGCACAGCTTCTCTCCTGGGCACACAGCATTCTCAACCAAATTCATTTTCATGCCTTTTAATTGAATAATGTAAGAATTCTTTAGACCTTTATTTGGAAAGTCTCACAGGGAGGAGGAAGCTAAAGTAACAAAAATAAATAAAACATAGATCTACTGTGTTTTGGCAACTAAAGGGAAAAGTGTTTGAAAATCCAAAAGCATTCATTTTTCTGAAAAAATCATGTAGACTTTTGTTTGTGTGAAAGTTGAAAACTGCAAAATATGAATTTGTTTAAGAATGTGCTGTAGTTTCTGTCTCATGCAATTTCACAGTGAAATAAAAAGGCATAAAATGATCTGTCACTTTCATATGCACAGTTGTATCTTTTGATCATGTTACTGCACAATATCTGAAACAACGCTTCTATTAAAAGACACTACTTACAAGAAACAAAAGGTTATCAAGTGCTGTGAAATAGCATTTTATGTTAGAAGCGTCAGATTTGTGGTACTTTCCAATGGAAAGGGAAGACAACTGTTACAGGTTAAATCAGCTAAATCAGCCTTTGTTGTAATGGATGCTTCTTTTGAGTAAAAAATAATGCCACAACGATTTTATTTCATTTATTTTTATTTCATCATTCTTGTTTTTAACTTTCCCTAGATGAGACAAGGGGCTTTCCTGGTCAACACAGCTCGAGGTGGGTTAGTAGACGAAAAAGCACTTGCACAGGCCCTGAAGGAAGGAAGGATACGAGGGGCAGCCTTAGATGTACATGAGTCAGAACCATTCAGGTGCTTTTCCTTTTCTTTTCTTTTTATTTTGTTCACTTTCTTATTTTTAAGTCTTAGTGCATGATGCAATCAACAGCAACAAGTAAATTGAGTTTTCGCTTCATTTGGTAGCTAAATACTCCTTAGTAAAGCAACATGAATCTGTGCAGCACTGGACTAATGCAAATGTAGATGGAGCTTGTGTATGTGGTAAGAAGTGAAAAAAGTGAAATCCAAGATTTAATTCCTTTTTAAAAAAAACATCCAATGGGTTTATTTAGTAGAAATAGCAGGGACTTGGGTTCAAACCCTGGGCATGGCTTTGTGTCATGGCTTGGAGGGGACTGCTCCTTTGTCATTGATGCAGCTCTGGAGGCAACTAATGTTGATGTCTGAACAGACTCTTTCAGAAGGCAAGGAGTTGAGATTTGGTGTGAGAAATAACTACTTTATGACACCTTTCTGGAGGAAAAGACATACTTTTGTCTAGATTGCCTCTGCAGGAGAGCCATGAATGTAACAGGTTGCAAAAAAAGTTAAGATAAGGAAGGCGGTCAGAGTGCAGGTTTTCATTGTTTTACCCTTTATCAGGGGAGCAGTAACTCTGCTGTCATTAGCAGAGCTGGTAGCACAAGCCTTAGTTTTTGAATGACACTAAGTCCAGCGTTTTAGGCTGAAATGTACCACTCCCCAAAGTGGCATTGGTATTAACGATATCAGCACTCCTAATCAGAAACAAGCCTATTTGATATGTCCTTGAGTCTTGAGCCTGACTTCTGAGTTAGAGTTATGAGACTAGACTGCTGTAGCTTAGTGCTTGTATGTGACAAGCTTTTTTCAGTTGTTCAGTCTTGGCAGGGAGAAATGTTGATTTTAACTGGAACAATCCACATAAGTTTTTGAAGAGGAACAGATTCAGGACTTGAGGGCAGGTTGTAAAGTCTGGTGAGAGGACAGTCTCTCTCGTATCAGCACGCGGGGGGAATAGAAGCTTTAGAAAAACAGATTTAGAATCTTTTAGGTAGAATTTTTATATCTACTGAGACACAATGCCACATCACAAATATTTAATTTTATTTATGCATACCCTGCATTCATTTACTTCTAAATGTAGTCATTACAATGCAGTAGTGCTGTGCAAAGCCAGTCCCCAGGCTCAAGGGACTTTCAGCTACATACATTCTTCCCAATTCAGATCTCAGATCTGCACAAGCAGACCGTTGCACCTATAGGAAGCCCCATTTACTGCATGGAGATGCCATCTGCAGAGATTCAGTTGCAGGATTACAGCCACAGTTTCCTTTGGCTTCAGTGCTGCATGTCTATCTGATCGCAGCATGCAAGTCTTCATTCGAGAGTTTTGCCAGATATTCTGATGTTTATTGAACTACAGATGAAATCTATCATTTTATGAGTTATGACCAACTATGAAAGCACGCTTTTGTCTTAAAATATTTGTTCTCCTGGTGTTACAGTTGACTGTAATATTATTAAAACTGGAAATAAATAAGAGGAGCAAGTTTCCATTATTTTCAGTCTCTTTACTCTGTGATAGCACTTCTACACAGATTCATTGCTTTCCCTGAAAATCAATCTGTAAAGTAAATTTCCTTCTTTCGGTGGAGTTTCTATAAAGGAATGGGAAAGAAAAAATAGCTAAAAATAACAGGAAAAAATAACTGAATTATCAAAAAAAAAAGCTGAGGCTGCTGATGGACACACTTCTTATTTGGAAATAATTGTAAGATTTTTTCTTTAAATGACTAAATGTCACATTGACAGTGACTCTTGAGAGATCAGAGCTTTGTTGGCTAATGCAGTAAAAGTAAAACTGTGATGAAATGGACAAATGGAATGATATTCTGAATTGATTTGGGTCTTGCTTTATGCATTTCTGCACCAGAACTGGAGTAGCAGTGGCTGTAGTTAGGAATAAGTGCATTGGACAGAAGCTAATGTTGCTACTATACTTAGGTTCTACCCTTTGAGTCTATGAGAGGTGATTGTTGCTTATTTATACCATGAATAGTGTATTAAATTAACTGACAGAATTAAAACCAAACCCAACACGGAATAGAAATGCAATTCTTTTCTGTTGTAGAAATTAATCTGTGTATGTACAAATCCATCTGGATTCTCCTCCCTCCTACCCCCAATATTTTTTGTCATTTAATCTTGTTTTAAATCTTCATTTAGCTTTAGTCAGGGCCCCTTGAAGGATGCACCAAACCTGATATGTACCCCACATGCAGCCTGGTATAGTGAACAAGCCTCAATTGAGATGCGGGAGGAAGCAGCACGAGAGATCCGAAGGGCGATCACAGGTACTAACTCACCTCATTAGCTCCTTCACTGCCTGTTTCTTTTTAACAACCTTTTTCATTCTTCAGTCTTGAAAGATGCTGAAAAGAACCAGCCTTAGGTTTTGTTTACCACTTCTAATATTTGGAACACAGAAACTAGCAAATACCCATGAAGTCTGTTTTGGAGGTTCATTGCAATTACAAAGAGAAGGCAGGCACTGCAAAATAAGTACTTTTTCTGTATAACAGAAATGTACTTACATGTGAAAAATCTGCTTTTTTGTTGTTGTTGCTTGTAAATATTACCGATTTGATGGGTTTGACTGCTAGTCATCCAGATATTGCAGGTATCTTTCATAGGTTTTCCTAGATGACCCCTTATACTTGTCATGAGCAGTTCCATTTCCTTTGTTCTTCTCTTTTTGGCTCCTTTGTATTTCCCAAAGTTCATCCGAATTTGTCTTGGAAGACGGTCTGGAATTTCAGTGTCTTTAAGGCTGTAATGTTCAGAGATAAAGCATCTAGAGCTTCATGCTGTTCCTAGTAATGCTTGTATCTCAACAGCTCATTCTCTATGTCAAAACAAAGTTTTCAGTATTTTGTTGGGAGGGTACTTGATTTTAGATGTTCCTCTCTTTAAAGCATTGCTAAAGAAGTCTGGCATTTTAAAGGGCAAAGTCTCTTTGTTATATAACTACCATGTAATTGTAAACTGTTCACATAAGAGAAAACAGTTATGTCTTGAACATACACTGCTAATAAATAAAATGAGACTAGTGAGCCATTTGGCATTGGTTCGAATCCCTTGTAGCCTAAAATAAAAGGAAGGATTTTCTTACTGGAAAATGATTCATTAAGCACTAATGTTCTCTCTTTAGTAGGACTTTGCTGTTTCCCCCTTGGCAATATAGACTCAATGCTCTGCAGACATGAAGGGCCATCTGTGTCACCTTGAGAGTAACTCGGTGCCAACACATTGCTCTGCTATACAAAAAGCACTAGCAGTAGCCATTCCTGTATCTTGTGCCTAAAGAGGCTGGGCAATTTAGTTTCATTTATAGCCTGTGCAGAGAGAAGATTCTCCTCTGGATGATGATTAAAGAAAGGCACTTCTTAAACTCCTGATCTGAACTGCCCTTGAGAGGACTATTTCTCTCTGTTTTAGAAGTCACCTAAAGAGTCCGACCATCCCTTTGCTGGAATTGGTCCTTGTGCTTATACTCCAGAAGAACACTAACAGAACATTCATTAAGTTGTTGTGTAACTATTGCCTGCTCCCAAATAGCTGTGGGAGAGTTTGCACAAACCAGCATATGATACCTGCTTGGGGGATGATTGATGTGCAAATAAGCATTAATAGGCTAAGACCTGAAAATGGAGTAAGAGTCAGCTATATGGAGCTAGTTTTATGTTAAATACTGTGCAATCGCCCAAACGTATGTGCCTGGGACGACAGACCTGTATTTTCTTAAACAGTGTGATTGTGCTATCAGCGATCTAAATCATTGATTTGTATTGAAGCTGTCAGCACTTCAGTGTTTGCACATGGCTTGTAGTAAGATCGAACTGAGGCCAACATTAGGGAGGTGAGAATGACATTGAATTGTAGTGAAACAAATGTAGGAAAGATACAGGAAGTGTGGGATAAAGCTGGATATGTGAAAGCCATAGGGGAACACAGCGGAGAGAGGGTGTAGAGAGAGAAACTAATTGGAAAAAGGTGTACAATGAAGGAATGCAGGCTATGACTACCATCTGACGATAAAAATGTTAAGTAGTTCTTCTGTTCCCAAAAAGTCGGTGACGTTCTGATGTATAAAATAAAAATAATAAGCAGAGGTTAAATATCTTTAAATATATTCTGGAACATCAAAACATTCAAAGTATTAAATAAGGAGGACCACTGAAAACAATAATGGAAGAAATGGGAAGGTGAGCATAGCAATTGAAAAGATCGTTACGAAATAAGTTGAAAATAAATAAATAAATAAATCCTGTTTTGTAAGGGGAGACTAGTAAGAACATGCCTACAGAAGTTAGCAAAAATGAGGAATGAGAGGGGCAAGGAGGAAGACATGATTGCAGTTTAAAAATTCTTGAGAAGGATAAACATCAGAAGAAGAAAGATACTATTTAAATTTATGGACAATTTTGGCAGAAGTTTAGATGAATGTATATTTCAGCTAAATGTAGAAGGTGATTTCTAATCAGGAGAACAGTAGGAATTCACCCATAATGGGGTATATACCTCATCTTGTCCGATACCGAACTAAGAAGCCCTTTCGGCTTGTGCATAGGAGATGTGGGAAGTTCTAGTGACATAAGCACAAGTCATGGAGTAGCAAGGATTTGATAGAATCCACCAGACAAAAAGCAGTTCTGTGAAAAGGCTCTTTTACAGCCCCATTGTGGCCAGGCTGATGGATAGACAGAGCAGGCAAAGAGTAGTGAAGTCCTTAATCAGATTTCCAGTAGGGAGTTGGAAAAGCCTGAATTCTTTAATGGTGGAGCATGGTCAGCTTTTGAAAGCGCTTCTGGAGTACTGTTGCCAACAGTAGCAAAGGTAGACTGGAACTCAGCTCTTTCTACCTCTGTGTGTGCAAATGCACAGTAAGATTAAAGTTTAGAAAGGATACATTAAAACGGATGTCAGAAACAACACAGGCTCCACTTGATCTCCCATTGAAATAGGTGGAAATGTTCCTGTTGCTATGAAGAAAATGTGCATCGTATCTGTTCATGTCATTTTTTGCAGGGCTGGAGATAGTTCTGCAGAAGACAGTCAGAGGTTTGTCCAGTGTGTGCTGAATCAGGCTGACAGATTTTGCAGTATCTGTGTCTTAAAACTTCAGTTATACTTCAGAGGTTAAGCAAAAGTTTTGAAGAAATGAAGGGAGTTTTGTGCTGTATTTTCATTTTTTGTAGGAATGGAAGAGATGGATGAGGATTAATACATTACAGTAAATAAATGTGAAGAGCAGTTGAGATAAAGAAGGGGAAGATCAGGAGGACAGGAAAAAAGTGTTGGTCATATTTAGCTTTATGGCAAAATTCCATTCAGAATCCTGCATGCTTCAATAAGTGTTTTTATTGCTGTTACACGTGGAGGGAAAAGGAGGAAAGTGAAGTTAAAGGCAGAGAGCAGGAGGCTACATTACTGAATTGGAGTGGCAGCCATGCTCTATATTCCTTGGAAAGCATGAATCTTGTTGATTATGGTTTTATTGAGACCCTGTATACAAAAGACAGAGACAGACAGAGAAATAAAAATCATGCAGAGCATTTTAACGTTATTAACTCAGTCCAGGACAAAAGAGGAACAGTGAGGATCAAAAATAAGCTCTTAGTGTGATTTTATGTATTGATTTAAATATGCAAATATTTGTAACTATTTTTAACATAGATACATTAAGAGCATAAGGCATACAGTTTTTATGGGTTTTTTATTTCCTCTCCCTTGCTTCATCCTAGGTCGTATTCCAGACAGTCTGAAAAACTGTGTTAACAAAGATCATTTGACTGCAGCTACACATTGGGCCAGCATGGATCCCGGAGTTGTTCATCCAGAGCTTAATGGCGCTGCATACAGGTAAGTGTGCTGCAGGTGTAAAAGAAATACCTCCTTAATTCAGAGGTAGGTATTCAAGAATAAATAAAAGACCTTCCTATTAATAAATGAAGTGGTTTTGGATTAGGCCCCAGCTATATTGTTTTCATAATTGTTGCATTCAGGAGAATAATCTTGTTTTGCTAGTTGAAGTCAGTCATGCAGTGTGTAAGTATGTTTCCTTTTCTTATCTTTTTTGTGTGGTTAGTAATATCTTAATGAACAAAGTTTTTTTGTATATTCAAGTAAAAAAATTCTGGTCATCTCCAGTGAGTGCAGTGGAAGTTTATGTTCCTTTTGCTGAAGGCAATGATACAGTAGTAGGTTACAGAAAGACTTTCAATAATAAATGATTGTTACGTGGTTTTGTGGCCTCCAGACACATGAGAGAACAAATAACTCAGTAGTGAATACAGTGGAATAGCCTGTGGTGATTATGAAAATATGTTTAAAATAGTGTTTTCTAAATTACACGTTTAATTTTTAAGCAAAAGCATTTGAGGGACTTGATCTGTGTATTCTCAATCAACTGTGAAAGCAGCTCTTAATAATTAATAGAAAGGGGCAATTTTTTTACGCCTTATATGTACGTTCCTTAGTTACTTTGCTTGAGAGTCTTTGTCTGTCCCTTTATCCCTAGCAGCTGTTCTAGCAGCAGATTTTTCCTAATAGCCAGCTTCACACAATTTTTATTTATGAAAAACATCTGCAATTTTTTATCTTCCAGTATGGTATTAACTCATAAGTAGGATGAAAGTGGCTGAGAAAGCTACAGACATCTGCTTCCCTCAGTGCCTTGAGGGAAGGGCCAGAGCAGTACTTCAATTATTTTTTTATACCTCTTTGTCCTAATCTTTCCGCTGTCCTTCCTCATACATCTTTTCTTATCTTTGTCCTTCTTTAGGAGGGCTACCCCATATCTTTAATAGATACAGGATTTTTTTGTGTGTGTGTTACCCCATATGAGAACCCAGCTGCGCAGTGCTGAGAAATGAAGCAAAGCTCTCATGTCCCAACGACTTCTAACAGTCTCTTCAGAAAGTGATGGAGAGATGACGGGGGGAGCATCACCACCCTCTGCCATAATCTCCTGTAAGCCCTAAGCGCACCGAAGGAGAATAACAACTTTGATTTGATCAACATGCGTATGTCTCGCACGACATCAAGATGTTTAGTTTTTGAAAAAGTACCTGTAGCCCTAAATATCTGAAGAAGGGTGTTTTTATTTGCTTAAACGAAAAGTTCAAGCACACATGTTCTCTTCCACACAGCATGTGTTTTCATTGACTTCAGGTTTGAGTACTCAGGGTAGAGCTGAACGCAATCGAGGCTTAAAGGCAGGTGTTGCAGAACAGGGGGTAATAACTCCAACCCTGTCGTGGCAGTTAGAACAGGGTTGCGTGCCCAAATAAAATGCAGTTGGTTGTTCTCATTTTGGGGGTCACAAGTCCAGCAGAAGTAGGCTTCACAGCTAGAAATGGATTTTAACTTAGGAATGTTTTGGGAGTTAATGATTTACAAGGTAAAGACCATATGTGTTTAATTTAAGCAGGATAAGCATGGAATTGAATGCCTTTTTTAGACACTGTTTCAGTCATATTTTTCAATAAAGAAAATTCATCGTAAATAGATTTTGACTTTACAATTATTTTCAAATGCGAAATAAAACTCATTTTGGGAATTTTGAGGCAGAAGTTAGTCATGCAACAAATATTAAAAGCTTCTTCGTGGAGGGGTGATAGAATAGTGTTTGAGTGTGGGTGAAGGCAGTTATTATTTTGTGCATTATAAAATATATGGAACTTGAAGTTCAGGCTTTATGAAGAATTTGGTTTCAGTAGCAGTGTTTGCTGATGCTTAATTCCTACCTGGATTAAGTACAGAATTTAAATTGGTTGTTCAAAACAAATTTTTCTGTCTTCTCTTTGAAATCCAAGATTACATTCAACTAGCTGAGTTCTGGAGTCTTTCACAGGCACTATGATGTTTCAGATGTGCTAATAACTGTATCATAGTCATGTAATTGCATTAGAAGATAAGACCTGGGATAATAATTTATATGTTAAAAAATGCAAATAGCTCCTTCGGTGAACTAAAACTAACGATGTTATTTTATTCTGGATATATCATTTACTTGTATTTTGATGTAGGACAACTCTTAAATTATCAGATATTATTGCAAGCAAAGAACATTGAGCGTTCATCAGCAGAATATAATCTCGATCTTCTGAATATCGTCGTATTCTATGGAAAACAAAACCATTTACTACGTGAAATACAAGACGCACTATCAGCACAAAAGGTCAAGCAAGCAAGACCTATCCCATGAGTAAAGATTAACAATATTCCTGAGAATGAACTATTTGTAATAGTCTTGGTGAAGCAGCATAATATACCCTGCTTTTGCGTTACTCCTGTGTGTTTGTTACTGAGCTGCCTGTTAAATAACCCCCTGCCATTTCCTCTGTCACAGAGTGTGCAGATTATAGGCAAAGTGAGGTTCGACAGTCAGTAAACAGTAATTGTACAGTTTAGAGACATGTTGATAGATCTTTCTGCCATCTAACAGGTAGAAGATGAGAATATGCAGGTACTGAAGAGATACTTGGATGAGAATAGTTAGATGTTGTTAATTCAGGAGTTATTTCATGGTGAGGTGCTTTACTGGTGATTTTCAGACTCTGTAATGTAAGATAAAAGCATGCACTTAAATTTTTAAGCTCTTTTGGGACAGACTCAGTTCCTTGAACCGAGCTTAACACAGTGAGTTCAAGGTGCTTCTGTAGTTTAAAAAATACAGGAGATTAACATAGAAATTAAAGTTGCCTTTCAGTTTTAAGAGGGCTACTGTATTTTTCTTCATAAATTAAGACTATCTGGGGGAAGGGGAAGGAAGAGTATGAAGTAGCAGAGGAGGTATAACTGATTTCTCGCTTCTGCTGTCACAAAAATGTGGACATTTTACCTGGAAAACGTTTCAACTTGTTGCTACCAGAGGAGGAAGATTGGGAGCAACTTTATGAAGTGCTGGAGGGAATGTGTTTGCTGGTTAAGAATAGAAAAGCAATAAATGTCAACATAAGGGAAGGGTATGTAGGATAGAAATGCCCATGTGTAGAGGCTGTTGAGTTTATATGTTCTCCTCTCATACATATGATTTGAACAACACTGATGATTAAATTAAGAAGGGACAAAAATTATGAAAAGAGCATGGCAAAATAGGGTTAGGAGTTGTCAAGCAAAATACACTTTCTGTAGAGGGGTATGTTACCTGTATTTCGGCTACTGCCACTGTGTAGCTTTAGGACAAGAAAAACAATTGTAGGGCTTTTGGATGTTATTAAAAGTCTGTAGGAAGCCTGTGTCTGAGGAGGGGTGCTGGCAAGTAGGATCCCAATTATTATAACTTGGTGTCCAAGGGGAATATTTTTATATACAGAAAGAATATTTGGAGTCGGACATCTCAAAGGAGAACTAACCGATATGTAGTTTGAACTGCTAAATGTGCTTGTAAGTTAACTGGTAATGCTCCTGATCCAGCACCATCCATTTTCACAAGGGGAGGCTCTGACTTTTCTTCCTGAGGGAAACACAGTTACAGAAATTGCTCTCTCCTTGATTTCTCCCAGCTCTGGTGTGTTGATGCTCGGGGAATATGTTGTTAGAAAGTAGAGATTCTGTGCTGGAAACGGTTGCTGCATTGGGCTTTTAAATGGAAGGTTTTGTCATGTCATGTTATGTTTTTTGCAAAGCACCTAGAGTAACAAATAAGCTGTTTCAAAATCAAATTTGAATAAATAAAACAATACCCAACTGACAGTTTTCATAGGAATTGAAGCAAATTTGATTAATAAGATTCAAATTGAGGTACTGAAACAAGCAACTAATCCATTAGCAACTGCAAATTAATGCTAAGGAACGTCTCTGGAGAAGGAATTAGCATAGGAAGCCCTGTAACTATGCCTACAATTGGGAACTAAGGTCTGGCCTACAGGTGGTGTGATCTTTCACATACTGGTTATCCATCCCAGGTCAGTCAGTGGTATGATCTGTAGGAATCCTTCCCAGGATGACCAGGCCAGTGTATGGTATCTTCATCGTTGCTGTGCCATGTTGGATAGCCGTGCTGAGCCCCTCTGGCACAGTGTTTGCAAAAAACAGTTCCCATGTTGTTTCTGTGATGGAAGCAAAAAAGAACAAATAAATGTGCTTTCATCCAGCTCTTTTTCTCCTCCGAGTTTTGCATAAGTTCTGCACTAATTTTCTCTCAGTTTGAGGGAACTGAGGATGAGCAGCACAAACATGCATTACTTTAGAAAAGATGCTACTGAAACGGGGTGAAATTCCCTGATGCATTCAGCGTTGAGCTCTGATGAGAAGAAAATCAACAGCAGAATAATGTGATATTTGAAAAAAGCTTGACTAGACAGCAAGTGCCTTTTCTCCCATTTAGTTCTAAGTAGACACTAGGGTAGCAAATGCCACAGTAAGTGGTAGGTTTGTGTGTTTAGGCTTTTAAATGGATAATGTTCTTGCTAGGATGCTTAGGTGAGCAAAATACGGCAAGAGAAAACAAGGGATGAGCGTGCAGCTTTATGATGGGGAGGGGAGGCAAAGGGCCAGTGTTAAGTGGCCAGCGTGAGATAACTTGCAAATGGGTATTGAGGTATTTGGCTAAACAGAAAACTTACTTTAGTTAAAAGTGTTCATGTGTATCTGTTGTTTATATACTGCACTGTGAAATACCAGTGTTCATCAACTGCATCTGAACTTCGGGACTGAACAGTAGATTTGCAAATTTTTTTTTAGCCTCATAATGTCAGTCATAATAAAATCAAGCTGAATCAGAGGGTGATTTTTTGTTGAATTTGTAAAATATTTAGGCCTCTGTGTTCATCCAGAAGGAGTAACAAATCTTTAAAACCATCCATAGTGTATTGTGTTTGCATCTCTCTTGCAGTCTGCCTAAAGCGCTTGTCCTCTGTATTACTAGTACTAGTTCTCTTTCAGACAAGTACAGTGGCAAGTTTGATGCTGAAAAGGTTACTTGGAAGTAATAGGCTTGAATTTGTCATCTGAAGAGTATGTGGGTACGATTGCTTTGGGGGGGGCTATCAGGAAGCTATGACTGCAAGATTAGTTTAAAGAAATATTTTTTCAAACCACAACAATGAAATTTCAGAATTTCTACATGAGAATGAAGGGGGGTAAAAAATCCCTGAAGATCAACTGGAGGAAAAGTCATAGAGAGCAGATAGGTATTGCATGGACCTAGCCTGAATTACTTCTTGTTGAGGCATACTTTGAGAGGAGCAATACTTCCAGATCGTTTACTGTCCTGGTTTTGGCTGGGATAGAGTTAATTTTCTTCCTAGTAGCAGGCATAGTGCTGTGTTTTGGATTTAGTATGAGAATGAAGTGATAGCACACTGATGTTTTAGTTGTTGCTAAGTACTGCTTACACGAGTCAAGGACTTTGTAGCTTCCCATGCTCTGCCAGGTGCACAAGAAGCTGGGAGGGGGCACAGCCAGGACACTGCCCCAAACTGGCCCAAGGGCTCTTCCATACCATACAGCGTCATGCTCAGTATAGAAACTGGGGGGGTTGGCTGGGGGGCAGCAATCGCTGCTCGGGGACGGGCTGGGCATTGGTCGGTGGGTGGTGAGCAATTGCATTGTGCATCACTTGCTTTGTGTATTCTTTTATCATTATTATTATTATCCCTTCCTTTTCTGTCCTATTAAACTGTCTTTATCTCAACCCATGAATTTTACTAGGGTTTTTTTTTTTTTCCCGATTCTCTCCCCCGTCCCACTGGGGAGGGGGAGAGTGAGTGAACGGCTGTGTGGTGTTTAGCTGCCTGCCAGGTTGAACCACAACATTTCTTTTGCTATGCTGTCACTCATGCTATTAAATCTGATACCTGAAGAAACAATCTAGCAAACCTTTGTTTCTCACTTGGGTAAAATACCGAATCTTTTGCTTTATTTGGCAGCATCTGCATACGGTATCTCATCTGGAGCTTAAGCAACTGTCTTTCTCACTGGTCTGAAAACAAAAGAAGCCTCTCTGTAGCTCTAGAAGGAGGCAGGGTGGGCTTTCCAGTCAGTCATCCCTTGGTTTTAATGTATGTTCTCGTTTTCTTCTCTCAGCAGGTATCCCCCAGGCGTTGTAAGCGTGGCTTCAACTGGCATACCTGCAGCAGTAGAAGGAATAGTCCCCAACCCTATGTCTTTATCACACGGCCTCCCTGCTGTAGCCCACCCGCCCCATGCTCCTTCCCCCGGCCAAACTGTCAAACCAGAAGCTGATAGAGACCACCCAAGCGACCAATTGTAGCCTACGAAAACAGCATTCCCAACATCGGAGATTTCAACTTCAGCGTGTGGAAAACAAACAAAACAAAACAAAACCCTGGATTTTGATTAAAGGCAAAACCATGAACTTACAGGAGGAGACGATTATTATTTTAGAAACTGGTCCAATATACAGTATAAAAGGAAAAGGTGGGAGACAAAAAGAAGATTTGGAAACATTTTTTCCTCCGTATAAATTGTAGTTTGTCCCTGTCCAGTGGACTGATTCACTGTTTCTGTGTCCTATGGGTTCTTTGTTAAGCAAGAGAAGTTAGTAGTTAATTATATCATGAATGTACTTGTCTGTGTACAGTTTTTAGAACATTAAAAAGGGTTTGTTTGCTTAGCTATCAACAAGGAAAAACATAAGGGAGGCATTCAACAAACCAGTTTTGAGATTAAAAATCCTTTCTTTTATATTTTAAAACATGCCCAAAAATGAGGCAGTTGGCAAACTTCTCAGGACAATGAATTTTTCCCATTTTTCTTTCTACGCCACACAGTGCATTGTTTTTTCTACCTGCTTGTCTTATTTTTTAGAATAATTTAGTAAACAAAAGAAAAACAGTTTCTCCTCATTTTGGCATGAATTCCCTTATTTCAAAATGAAGACAACCTTGCAAAGAGATTTTGAGGAAAAAAAAAAAAAGGTTTTGTATAAACGAGCATTGTGCTTTTTGTCACCAGTTAAAGTATATATTATTGGTGGTATGCGAAAAAGGCACTAGACTACTGAAAAGTAGCAGCATTTCATTGCCTACATTGATTCCTTCCTGGTAATGTGGTAGGCTAGCAATATTTTTGGTTAAAATCATGTTTGTGACTGTAACCATTTGTATGAATTATTTTAAAGAAATAAAAATCCCAGACAAATATCATATGTGTAAAAATTTTTATTTCTAGTAACTGTTTATTCAACTTTTATTAGGTTTCTTAGCTGTAATTTTTAAACAGATGCTGTCAAGTATTTCATTTCTAGCTTTACTTTGCTCTCTGTTGTTTGTAATACTGTCTTGGAAGCCTGAAAAATAAAAAAAAAAAAATAATACTTTCCATACCATTTTTCCCTTTACATTTCGTAAATGTTGATCTTTTTTCCTGTGTTTCTAATGGAGTTTGAAATTAAGATGGATTTTGATTTGTACACCGGCATCATCAGCTGCAATATGGTAACAGCATTTATGCCACCACTGTGGGCAGAGCAGAGGAGGTACAACAGCAACACAACAATAATAATAATAATAATAATAAACGTCTTTTGCCGAAGTCCAACATGAGAAGTGTCCATTGTTTTATTTGCTTTGTGATGATGGAAGCGTGCAGCAGGACGCAATTGTATTTGCTATATTGAAGGAGTTTGTTTCTTTGAGCACAGGCAGAAGTGTTTTCAGGGCAGGTTAGATTTCAGCTGGAAGCTGTTTTGGCCTTTCCTGTGCTCCTGGATAAAGACGTCCTTCATCCCTACGCAGTTTAAAAAAGCAAGACAAAAGTTTAGCTGCTGCAAGAAGGAAATCCAGGATGGGCAAAAGTGACCCTGGGCATAAACCTCCTCGGTGGTCTCTTACCTATTTGTTCACTATTAATCTGAACTAGTAACTGTGCACCTAAGGTTAGTGAGCTATTTCTATGGGATCTATGAAAAGTTCCTGTCCCCCATTCCCGCGAGTCTACAGAGCGGTCTCCGCTTGTGTTAGGAAAATGTCAGGAGGCTGCAAATCAAGAAAGACTGAAACTTGTGGGTCTGTTCCCAAGAAGCACTGTATAAAGTGAAATTTTGTCTCCATGGAAGAGTGGAACGTTTTTGCGTTGAACATATACAGCCAAAAATGTCATCCATTGCAATTTATTTGATGGTAAACCCATTCCTATTCCCTCCATGAAACAGGACAGAAAACAGCCCTAAAGCTGCAAGTTATCCCAGCAAAGACACTTCTAACAGCTTTGTGGCCAAAAACTTGCAAAAAACCAAGTGTGGTCTCCTGCAGTTGAAGGATTTCATATTTCATTGGTAATTCATGTTTTAAGATGCTTTCTTGTCAGGCTGAAGATGCTGCTTTAACATATGTAAAACAAACATTTAACATCTGGCTGCAAAGAATTGCTGACAGCCTCATTTGCAACCAAATTTCCTGAGGAAAACGAAGAGGTTTTTTTTTTTTTTCCTTCTCTTGCATCAGTTTGGACGTGGCTTATGTAAGTAAGCTTTGTTTCCAGTGAATCAATAAATTGATGAACTAGAAATGAAGGCACCGTTATTTATTGCATGCACTTCTCGGGCTCAGTTCTGAAGCTTGCTGTCCTTCAGCTGCATGTTTTTGAGCTGTCATCCGTGCTTGCTCAGGCACAAAATTCTTCAGGATTTGAGCCTGAAATACTGCACTGATGGGCGCGATGGGGCATTGCCACTGCGGTGGTAACACGTTCACTATTTTTATGCTAGTGCTTGAAATACATCTGTCAGTCTGACTGCTGGAAAGTAATCCAGTTTCCTGATTCTGTTGGAGCAGAAAGGAAAAGCCACCCTGGCAATGACAAGACTGATGGGTACTGAATTCTGGGTTATGGTCTGAAAAGGTGAATTAAAAAACTGAAAAAAACCAAAGCCTTGGAGTAAATGATTAATTGGAAAAGTGTACCATAATGAACATAGGCTATTATGCCCAACTAACCTTATGTGCTTTATGACTGCTTTTGTTGGGTAGTGGAAACGTGGTTAGATTTCCTCCGTCTGGTGAAGGATGTGCGAAATAAAGTTTAGACAGAAGAAGATGCAGTTAGTGGGAAAATAAAAAGTGGAGAAGGCAATGGCAGCAGAGGGCCACAGGGGACCTGAGGCAGTGTGGAAAGGTGAAAGGGGGGGTAAAGTGGCTGCCTCAAACAGTCGGGTTTTTTGGTGGTGGTATTTGAATTAAGGATCTTGGCCAAGAGAGAGGCCAACCATACTGAAACTGCTGCTGGCTCAAAGATTGTCGGCATCACCAGTATGCAGGAGGCTCTGGAACCTTCACAAGAATTGGACGGTATCAACGAACGGGCTGTTAGGAGTGGAAGGGTACCAGTTGTGCAAATGCCACGTCAGGTAGTTGCAAGTCGAAACAAAAGCCTGTCAGAAAAAGGAGCCGTAAGTGATTTCCCATTGGTAGGACTGATCGATTGCCACTGTGGGGCAGCCATGGAAAAGAACAGTATTGATGGCAGATGCATCTGGCACAGCATTTTTGGTAGGGATGAGAATGGATCAGGGATGCTACACGGGACCTGGAGCACTTGGTGTGTTTTGGTCATGCATTTTCGAAGGGGTGAGCTTGACCGCAAGTCATAGCAAAGACCGGCTCTCAAAACGACTGAGGGTGCGGAGGGCTTACCATGTGGGAGGAAATCAGAGTAACTTAGCTTTTTCAGCTTAAAGTGAAGGCTGAGTTGGGGAAGCGGCTATAAATAGTAAATGCTGAGGAGGAAGGAGAAGTGTTAAAGAAATGCTGGTATATGAATAGACAAGCATAAATGGGGGTTAGGAAAAAATCTGTCAGCGGGGAGGTCCTGGGACAGGTTTCCAGCAGTTGGGGTGACGGAGTCAGTCCCGAAGTCCCTGCAGCTTGGGTTGGGGTTTTTGTTTTGTTTTTTTTTTTTTTTTGTTTGGGGTTTTGTTGTGGTGGGGTTTTTCTATAACTTTATTTTTACAATCCGAAATGTGAGAACATTGTTTAAAGGTTATCCAAGGTTGCTACTGAACCAACAACTAGAGGCCTTTTCCATTCAGGGTAAAACACTTCAGCTTCCTTTATAACAAGCCTCAAGGCTTTTTTCCTTTAGTATGTTTTTTTGAGAAAATGCCCTATTGTTTGTTTGTCCTGCCTTCCACCTCAACTGATTAAGGCTGGCTTTCCAAATGACTGTGACTGCTGTAGTCTGGCTGTTACCAGCTTACTCCTTGCCTCAGACTGAAGGGTTTTCTTCTCCTTGTTTAATCTCAGTGGATGCCTCAGTAACGTCAGTTGTTCTGCTTGAAGAAGGCAGCACTGCCACTGTTTCCTTTACTCAGTTCACTCCAACCTTTCTACCTTTTGTAAATTGGGAAAAAAAAGGAAAAAAAGAAAAAATCGCAGTCATCAGTTTTAAGGGCAGAGAGTAATACTGGATCATTTTGTCTGACCGCTTAGTAAAGCCGTTAAATGTAATGTGCTTCTTCGTTAAACCTGATACTGTGTTTTGACTGCAGTAAATCTTTCAGAAAGATTTCTGGTCTTTATATTAAAATGTCAAGTGATGGGGTTTTTGCTATTTCCTTTGACAGTTTGCTTAAATGGGGGATAACCGTCACTATAATTTTTAAACTGCTTTATTTAATTTGGCTTTCCCTGTCTCAAAATTCCAGTTATTGTTTCATGTTGAACATGAGGTCATCATGTAGGCTGACTTGAATTTAGCGAGCATGTCACATTTTAGCCAATTTGCCTTTGTACTGAAGTCAGTGACACATCTTCCAGGAAGACCAAACCGTGTTATTCATCTATTTTCTTTTCCAGTTTCTTTCATTATACTGTACATCCTTTCCTTTGTGGCTCTGTACTTTTGTCCTTTTGAATGACATAGTCCAATATGGTTATCTTCTGCAGAGGAAATTACGGTATTTCTGATCTCTGATTTTCAGCTATTGTGTTTTTGCCTCCATTGACTTTCCTATTTCCTTGGTAAACTATTTCTCCTGCAAAGTCACAAGTGCTTGAAGAACTTGATTAATCCTTGTCTCAGTCTTCAAATTACGTTTGCGTATGTAGAGCTGAGCACCTCATTGTAGCGAAAGCTCTACGTTGAGTAGGTGCTCAACGCAGTGGTCCCGCTCTCGTAATGCGAGTGCTCACTTTCATCCCACTGTCTGCACCCGTAGTGTGTCAGCTTCTTGCAGAATGCACCTTGTCTGGGTCTCGTACCTCCTATTGGGCTGTTTGTCCCTCAACATCTGCCTCCTGTCCTTCCTTGTTTCCTTCCAGCTTTCAGGGGACCTGGAACATTACTTTTAGAATTCTTCCTTTTTTTAGAAGAACTGTCCTTTGGTCAGTTCTGCTTTTCATCTATGAATTCCAGCTCAACACAGACCAGTTGTTTTTCAGCTCTCTCCATGCACACTACCTCGCTAAACCCATATCCAATATTCGATTTTTCATGTCCACTTTTGGACTTGGGATCACACAGTTGGTCTTTTTTTACGCAGTTCCTCATCTGGAGTTTCCTTCTTACATTTTCTGTACTACAGAAAGAATTATGGCTCTCCAAATCTAGTCTCAGCACTTTTCTTTGCCTTTACATTTCTGCTCAGAGTCATAACAGAGTGTTTTCTTGAAAGACCATTGTTTGTTTTGGGGGGGATTGTGACACTGTGTCAAGGCTGCCATAAACATACTAAAGTATGTCCTTGGGATGATTAGAGGCGTTTGAGACATTTCCAAGGCGATGTAGATCATTCTCTGAGCATGCCAATCCATTGAAGACATTTGTTAACTTGCACAGTCTTCAACTACATGTCTATACCCCTTCTTTCATGTGCTGCCTAAAAAGGACAAGTGGTTGCTGGTTGGAAGCGTTGACAATCTGCTCGAGAAATAAAGTAAGGAAGTTTAAAAAAAAAATACATTTAAATACTTGAATATATTTTGAGATGCAAAGATTTAAAGTAATAAAAAGGAGCAAAATTACTACCTTAAAGTGCCACAAGAGCCTTTTTACGTATCAACATTGATGCATTAGAGGTAGACAGTTATGTGCCAGTGTGACAGTGCTAGTGAATTCTTCATCTGTGCTGTGGAAACAGAGTCCTTGTATAGTTTGGGAAAAGCTTATGGAGCTGGTCCCCTCCCTGGACGAACCCTAGGAGTTAGGGCAGCAAATCAACATCTAAAAATAATCTCCTGAGGAGCTGACGTCTGAGACTTATGTTTCCAAACCCCTCCAGCCATTTTCATGTCCCACCTGATGCAATGGATTAAATTCTCAAGCCAGTTGCCTCCAACGCAGCTGTCGGCTTCACAGCATATTCCCCTTCCCAGGAACTCAGCAAGCAGC